AGCAGGAGCAGCCGGTCCCTTCCTCAGCCTGCAGCCCCTCAACACTTCCCGCAGGTGCTGGGAGGGTGGTGGGCTTCCTGCCACCCCCACAGGCCCACCACCACACTGAATTCCCTTAACTTCTTTACCAGCCCCCTCTGGCTCCCCAGTAACAAGATATAAAACCGCAAAATACCCACATTTTACTAAAACTCTAGAAAGCATGCAAAAAGATCAAAAAAATCAAGTTACAGTTTTATCTGAAACCCAACAATGGACTGAGCAGAGCAGAGCTGGACCTGGTTTCCCTACGAGCTATTTTCTGAAAATGGGCCAGGACCCAAATTCACACAGGCAGCTCCCAGGCAGGCCATCCGCATGACACCCAGAGGAGGCTGGGGAGGCCTGGGCCCCAACGCCACTTGCTCTGCAGGTCCAGGTGTGTGTGTTGATGGGGCTGGGGCACTGGAGCTCCTCAGGTGCAGAACTGCCACCCTCCTCATGTCCCCTCTTACCAACGCCCCCACCCCCAGGCAGACCAGGGCCTTAGGACCTGTACAAACTATCAAACATCATCTCTTCCCCGTGGCTAACCGTCCTCTGAGGCAGAATAAACCATTCCTCAGCTATGTTTCAGAATTATGTTCCAGAACATTCTGGTACTTTCCAAGCTGGTTCCTCTGCTCCCTATGTGCTCCTTGGGGGATAAAGCTGTTGATCCCCATGCCTGGCGTGGTGTCTGGCACATGGTAGGTGTGAGTAAACGTTTGTCTGGTTGAGTTGAGTAGGAATGAAGGAGCACGCCCCCTAGACACCTGAGAATAACTCAGGGGCCAAGCAAAGTGAAATGGTGCCCTGAGGCCACAGAATGTGTTTCTGTCCCTGGTTCCTGCGCACCACCACCTGCCAAGCTAGCTCAAGCACAGCTTGGCGGTGCCTCCCACAGACAGGAACCCAGAGCTGTGCCCCTCTGCCCCTCCCCCAAGCCACGACCCTGGAACAAATGGCAGCCGACTTCTCTGGATGCCAGTCATCTCTTTATTCCGTCAGTGACCAACACAACAGCACCGCAGACATGGCAGGGGCCTGGTGGAGAACCCGGCCTGGGCAAGGCAAGGAGGCGGCTGTGGGGGACCCAGGTGAGGGGGAGCCTTCCCTCCCTGTCCCCCAGCAACCAGGAGAGAAATGACAGGGGGAGGGGCAGTGTGCCCACAGTAATGCAGTGTCAGTACCAGGGCCATGTGAGGAAGGAATGTTCCAGAATGGGCCAGGTGGACTTGTTAGGTGGCTACAGGTGGACACTGTGTGCTTGTGTGTGTGTGCTGGGGGGACAGGCGCATACCCTACTGAGCATGTGGAATTCAACTGCTGAGCCACAGGACCTGCCTGGGGCCAAGGAGACCAGGACCCAGGGCTCAGGGTCTGGGAGAGGGGCATGGGGCCGCGGTGACCCTCCTCACTGCTTGGCCTTGGAGAGGAGCCTGGGCTGGGCTGGCCGACCCACCTCACGTGTAGGCCGTCTTGCTGCACACCCAGGGCCGAGTCATCAGACACTCCGTCGACACCAGCCTGGTGGGCTCCACAAAGACACACTCCCCTGGGCCCGCGATGGAGAACCTGGGGCCAGAAGAGACCAGGCACTCAGGACCTGGGTGGCCAGAGGCCCCGTGGTATCTGCCCCTCCCTCTGGGTCACCTTCCAGGCCATTCCTCCAGCCCCCCAACAGGTACCTGTGTCTGTCTGTCCCCCAGCCCCTAGACAGTCAGCTCCTGAACAGTGGGTTCCCCATGGCACAGTGTCAGGCATGGGAAGAGCTGAGCTGAGCTGAATGACCTCACAGGTTAGGGGTGCACCTGAATGACCTGTGTTTAACACGGGGGCTGTGCAGCCCAGGAAGTCACTGACGTCACTCAGGGACCTGTGGGGGCAGGGTTCTCCTTGCCTAAAGTCAGTCCTTTTGAGTCAAGGTTTCTTCGTTCACCCTGGTGAACTTAGAGCCCCCTGCCAAGGCCAGAGCTGGGGTCTCACAAGAGTTGGCATCAGAATGACCCCAAGAGTGAGTGTGGGAGCAGGGCCACCTCAGTGTCAGGAAATGCAGTCCCAAGGCCCTTGGGTGCCAGGTGGTCAGCACGGTGGGGACCAGTTTCCAGGGCTCTCCCCAGCTCAGAGAGGAGGAAGCTTCCAGAGGTGGGATAAGGGGAGAGAAAGGGCAAGACTCCCTCAGCAGCGCTGATCTGAGATGGGAGCAGGAAAGGGGGAGAGAGGAAAAGGCAGTGAGGAGAGATGGGCAAAAATGGACGGGAGAGGGGGGAAGGGAAGGAATGCCAACCAGGCTGCTTGCCCCTGTAGGCTGCTGGGGACCCTAGGGATAGGCACGGTCCTCGTCAGGTCAGCAGAGGTGCCCTGCCCACCTCCTCATGGTCTACTCCAGCCATAGGGTCTGGACTGAAAGCTGGGGTTCATTCCCTTACTCCCTGCACTTCCCTGACCTAGACTGCCCCCACACCTGGCACCACCCCCAGTGCCACAGCCATACACCCTACCACCCCTAACCACTGCCACCATCACCCCACCACCCCTGGGGATCTCACAAACAATACCACCACGCACACACCTCCATGCCCCCAGGAGGGGTGTTCTCTCATGCTCACAGTGCCAAGGCTCAGATCCCCTTTCCTGCATAGTATGAGTGTTTAGGTGGCACGTGGCTGCCCAGAATAGAGGCCCCATCTCCACCCCCTTGCGGCCAGGTGTTGTCGTGTAGGTGTGTTCTGGCCAAGGCACAGGCCCCTTCTCTTTCCCCCTGGGACTGAGCCACACTGAGCCAGGCAGACAGGCCACCGCACGGACAGGGTAGTCACAGGATGGCAGAGGCTGGGACCTGGTGGCAGAAAACTCCGATGACACGGAGCAGAGCCACCAAACCATGCTGACTTCATGGGCGAGAGACAAAAAATCCCATTGTCGTGCGTTGGTCTCTCACACCCACTGAAGCTAGGGGCTGCAGCTCTAGCTAGCACAAAACCAGGGGTGCCCAGGCAGCTAGGCCTTGCCCGAGCTAAGCCTGGTGGCCAGAAGCCGAAGCCTCAGCTCACGTGTCCGGGTCAAACGGTTCCCCGTTGACCCAGTGGAATTCATCTCCCACTCTGCGTAGGCCAATCCAGGGCTCCCTCCGCGTGAACTTGAACATAAATTCCTGCACCAAGGAAAGAGGGAAGGCAGAGTCAGATGTGGGCTCCTGACTGCTCACGCTTCCCAAGACTGACCTCAGCACGGAAGACACTCCCAAGACATACATACGCCGAGAGGGACATGCCTCACTGCACCCCAAAAACGAAGCGCTGGGGTCCCAGAATGTCCTGCACTCACACTGACCTCCCAGCAGTCGCCTGTAATGGCCCCCAAGGGACCCGGCCCTGGGAGCATGCCACCGGCCCAGGAAGCCTGGCACAAGGTTTGTACCCCTGGCTCAGCAGCCCCCATTCACAGGAAGCCTGGGCTCGCCCACTCGATAGACACCTGGGACAAACCTTGACGCTTAGGTCAACTGTCCCTCTACCTCCATCCTTCTGGGCCTTTCTCTGAAGGGGGCTATTATACTGCATATCACAGACAAACAGGTGAGTTTTAGGGTCTCTGCTATTTCTTATTGCAACACGCTGCAGCCAACAGACTCACTGACCGCGTTTCTTTCACATTTCTGTGGGTGAGGCCATTCTGGAGGTTACATGAGAGCTCACAGCCTGACTGGGGCTAAGGGAAGTGAAGTGTGTTTATAATTCATTTGTAATTTTTATAGTACAATACGACCTGAGCTCAGCAAACCAGCCTAGATGACACAGTTGGCCTTCACCACAGCAGTGGACACAGCCACTCGTGGGCCTGCTCGGAGCCTGGGGGGCCCACCTGCACACTGGCCGGGGGTGCTCGGGAACATGTCATGGGGACACCGAGGCCTAGGGGTGGGATCCCCTGGGGGGCCCTTCCCCAGCACTCACCAGCTCCTTTGGGCTCTGAATCACAGCCAGCGCGGCCTCGTGGGTGTGGCAGTACTGCCGGCCCGTGTTCCAGTCCCTCGGCTCCTCGGAGAAGTAGTAGCATTTCCTTCCGTAGAGCAGCCAGTCCTCGGGGCAGGGCGCCTCGCACTTGATGCAGCCCTTGGAAGCTGCAGGGAAGAGGGGCTCAGCACCACAGCCCGCCCGGCCCCAGTAACCCCGCGTGCTCCAGGGGCTCCCTCCACCGGCCTCGGCTTTGGTGCCCTTCACTGACACGGCTCCGGTGCCGCCTTCTCAGGTGAGCACCTCACAGTACCTGGCAGGGAGAAGGTGGGTGACTAGGTGCCACACGAAGAGGAATTTGGGAGGCTTGTGGGGGCACCATGAGGGGACGTGACAGGTTAGCCCTTGGCTTAAGACCTCTCTCCCCCAACTCTTCAAGGCAATGGAACCCCAGAAACTCAGATTTGGAAGGGACTTGGAGGCCACGTGCTCTTTCTCCAGCCGGGGGGGTACCATCTGCAGGCTCAATGCGCCCGCCCTCGCCGGCCCCACCCTCACTGGCCATGGCCCCACTAGCTAACAAGGCAGCCCGTTCCAACCTGCCTTCCTGTGATCCAAGACCTGCTGTCCAGATCTCCCTGTAGCACCCACTTGAAGTACAGCAGCCTCCCTTATCCAGGCTTAAACAGATAAGGTCTCTTCCACGATTCCTAACGGGGGTTGCTATACAGACCCTTCTCCATTCTGTCTGCAGGGTGCCCACACTATCACAGTGCTGCCACCAGCAACAGCAATCACCACACTGCCTTCCAGCTGCACTGGGCTCCCCAGCCTGCACACTGTTCAGAGAGAAGAGTCTGTGGGTATGTGCATACGTGCACTTTCCTGGGAAGGAAGCCCAGAGCATCCATCAGATTCTCAAAGGGCCTTCTTGCCAAAAGGAATTAAGGCATACTGTGATTGTTTTCATATGATCTCTCCACGCCAGGTCTCCCCAGCGGCCAGAACATGTATAAATCAATTTCAAATCCAAATGAAGGATCTTAGATTAAATCTGATTTTTTTTACTCATCTGTCATATTAAACATCCCTCTTTGGATTATATCACCTACAAATGCTATACGCATATTTTTTGTTTTCATGCAAGTGATTAAATGTAGACCAGGACAGAGCCAAGAACGGGCCCTGGGTACTCCAGCCCATGGGGATCCCAACCACGCTGACACCGACTAATTAGTGGACACGCATGTCTGCTTAGTGAGCTACAGGTCCACTGGGGAGAATCGACCACAGTGTGGCTACATTTAAACTGCTTTTCCACAAGGATCTCTGAGAAGACTGCTGTCTTTCACTTAAATCACAATATACTACCTTTACACGTTGCCCTGACCTCCCAACCTTGCAAAAAGACAAAAGGAACCGGCTTAATGAGTAAGAATTGTTCTAGGTGAACCCAAGCTGGCGCGAAGGGTCACCAGGCTCTTTTCTAAACACAACTCCCTGCTGGTCGTGCACACCCTGTAGGCGAGGATCTGGTCGGGACTGATATCAGTGGATTTTTGCCCATTTGGAGGTACCCACCTCTGGTCTTGTGGTGCTTCTCAAAGATTAAAGACAAAGGCTCTGAAATCACTTTGCAAGCCCTTCAGATCCCATGACATACCTTGCCTTGAAGCTATTAAAAGCAGCCAAATTTCCTGGTGATGGTCCATAGTAACAGTGCCCTCCGTTTTCCTTCCTCCCCCCTTTCAGTCCCACGCAGCACTCCTTGTTGCTCAGGCCCCACCCGGTGGGCTGTTCTGTTCCCTCTACCTCCTGGTCTCCAGGAAGCCCCCATTCATTCTTCAGGGTCTGGCACCCATGTTTCCCCCTCTGGGAATCCCCCCAGGGCAACAGCACCTCTGTACATGCACAAGGGAGATGTCATACCCATCGTTTTTTATTTTTTAATCCCTAGTACTCAGCCCAGGGACTAATACGCAGCAGGGCTCAATGCATGTTCACTGACTGAATGAATGTGATCTTTAAAGGCCCTTATTCCAAACTCACCTCCTCCAAGAAGCACTGCCTGCCTAACCCACCTCGAGTTTGTCTGAGTTCTCACGGCATCTATGTAAGAGGCCCAAAGTCCCATTTCCACTTTCCACGCATGGCTCAGTAAAGGGGACGTGTAGAGTCGATGTGTGAAAAGATTATGTTAAGCTAAAATCTCCTCCAAAACTAATACTCGGTTTTTCTATTTACTTTGTCCCCCACAGAATTCCTGGTTTGCCTGGAACTTCTCTTGACCTAATCAGACACACTTCTGATAAGGTGGTCCCCACTGCATTGCATAAATGCTCTGACATCACACTTACCCAAGATGCTCATCACCACCAGGATGGCGAACAGAAGGACGGCTATGGCCCCGAGCAGGAGACGGGTGGTGGTGTCTGAGGAGAAGAGAAAGGGTTCAATTCCAGG